TATTAAACAGTAATGACACTGTTTAATATCAATTAAACAGGTATTTCATTACGTATTTTATAGCTTTAATGTTTTATGTGTGTACTATAAAATAACCAATACCTTAGGTAAGTAAACATTCAATCACGTTTAAAATGAAACGTACGTACAAGAACGTTACTTAATCTATGATCGAACAGAATCAATTGCGTTATGTTCTTGCATTTATTCTAAAATGCGTTGTTTAAAATTTCTTTATTCGCGACTTCTAAAAATATACAAAAATATATTGTTAACTAGGCATAAACTACAACATAAAATTTTGCTAGCTAAGTCTATGAACGGCTCTTGGTTGATTTTATAATTATTGGGTCAGATTTCGCCATCCTTCTTTAAAGTAATCATTATTCTCAGTATGAATCAATAACTCAAGTGGATTGCTAATCGCGATACAAGACAGCAGTCGAGTATATAGTACCTTTTGTTACACCAGATGTCGCGACGAGTACCAAATAGCTATTTTTGTAACTGTAGTACGTTATGATGGCTGTTTCGACGTTTGTACGCACATTAAGTTTCCTATTAATTCATAACTACGTTGAAGGAGCTAATTGATGTACTTAGTTGTCAATAGTGGCGTGCAGTAAAATGTAATGATGTATAATTTTTCGACACAACACCGCATTTGCTATTTGTAAAAAAAATGAAATTCGAAAGCGATCGTCACTTGTAACGTTGCAACTTTTGAGATTTTGAAACGTTGAAATTTTGAGAACAACAACTGAGATTCTCTATTGGCACGCTGCAGAGACGGACGTGTCTGCTAGCATTATATAATTTAAATTTAATAAATAATAAACCTGTAACTGTGTCGCCGCTGTATCAGCGCTTTTCACTTTGTGTTTTGTGATGCTACGTGTGACCTTGTGCTTCTTTCAAATTATGAAGAATGAGTAGCCCGTTTAACAGAAGTACGATGACGAGTCGTAGAACACCTCCCGTTAGACGGCACGTGGAATTGGGCCCATCCCTAGCTCAAGCTTCAGCCCTCACCCCTTCTACTCCTGCACTGACTATAGACGCGGTCTCGACTCATGAAATTCAGAGATGGATGAGTCAAATAGAACAATGCCTGAATGACATCTGCACTATTTCTGGAGATGGGAAACTGAATACGGAGCAGAAGCTAAAAATTAGCAACATTAGCAGGTCAGTACTTGGAGGCGTCTCTCAATTGGCGGTGCAATATCAGTCCCCAAAACAAAAATATATTTCAGCCAATTCTTTGATCAGCACATTGAAAGAACAAGTCAATGTTGGTGACCAATTAAAAGACGTAAAATCTTGCGTACAGTCAGGCCCCAGAGCATCAACCCAGTCTTTTGCGGACATAGTTAGGAAGAGTGGTTTGCCCTCAGTATGTCCATCGAACAGTGTTGCTATTTACCCACCCAATAAAGATGCGTCGAGCGATGACACTAGAAAAATTGTTCAGAATCTAATTAAGCGGTATGCGTAAAACAAAATGTGGAGGAGTTATTATAAGCACGGAGAGTAAGGAAGACATACTAAAGCTCAAACAGTCTGAACAACTGAAAAAATCAGGCCTGAAATTAGAAGATGCGAACAAAAAACGGCCAAAGATAATATTATTGGGTGTGCCCTCTGGCATGTCAAATAAGGAATTATTTGACTGCTTGTACGATCAAAATTTGTCGGAGAAACATCCTAGCTTAAATAAAAGCAACATAGAGAGCGCAATTAAATTTAGTCATAAGTCAGGCAAAAAGGACGAGGCTACCTGTAACTATGTGCTAGAAGTGTGTGCTCCCATTCGGAGGACACTCATAGAACAGCAACGTGTCTACATTAACTGGTCTTCATGTGCGGTTCGAGATTACACACGCGTAACTAGATGTTACAAATGCCAACAGTATGGACACTCAGCAAAGTTCTGCCGGGATACAGAGCCCACGTGCGGCCACTGCGGCGGTGCAGGCCACTCCATCAAGGAGTGTACTAAGCACGCGGAACCCGCGAAGTGCGCCACCTGTGTACGCTTTAACAAACCAGGTAATCATAAAACAGGAGATGAACAATGTCCTGCTAGGAAGAGCGCAATAGCGAGGCACGTAAGTAATACTGATTATGAGGGCGCCTAGAGCGCCGCATTCCTTCTCTACCACAGCACAAACACGGACTCCATTGTAAATGATCTAGCCCAAGACATTGATGCAACTTGCGAATATAAATCCATAACATGCGACCCAGATCAGTGCCCCATGTTTAATTCTATGTCTAATTCTAATTAAAAAATAGTTCTACAAAATATTAGAAGTATAAGTTGTAATTTTGACGATCTTTTATCGTTACTAAACCCTATTAATTTTGAGCCAGACATCTTTGTTTTAACTGAGTGTAGATTACCCAAAACGTCCTCAATTCCACACTTGGATGGGTATAATTCGTATGTTAGTGAGGAAAGCAACGTATTACAGAACGATGGAGTAGCTTTTTACGTCAAAAACGACATACCCAACGTATTGATAGAGGAACCGAAAATAGTGGATGCTAACAGTTTGATTTTAAAAATTGAGAATGACATTGCAATTGTAGCAATTTATCGCTCCCCCTCATACAGAAATTTCACAAATTTTTTACTTTCCCTAAGTGATATTATGAAATCACTTTCATCTTTCCGTAACGTATTTATTCTTGGTGACCTAAATATTGACATTAAGTTTGACAATGAAGATAGCAACTCAGGCGAATACTTAAATCAAGCAGCTTCTCATGGCTACCTCCCCACTCATCAACATCCGACGAGAGACCACAATTGCTTAGACCATATATTAGCCAAAACCATCCTTACCGTAAAAACTATAGTATTAAAAACTACTCTAACTGACCACTATACCTTATTTACTAAGCCTAGAAAAAAACTTAATTAGAACACAATCTTTTAATTCTTATGCAGAACTAAATAAGGAGGGCGTGTCTCGTGAACTTGCAAACTTAGATATGTCTCCAATATACAATTCAAGTGATGCTAACGCAGCGATGGAGTATTTGATCTGTTCGCTCACTAAAATAATAGAAAATAATACAACAAACAAAACATTCACGCGCCGCTATAAAATACTTAAGCCTTGGATTACTCCAGGTTTGCTGCGCTGTATTAAAAATAGAGATAAATTACACAAAACATTTGTTCAGTTTCCGGATAATGCAATATTTAAAATTACTTATTATAGATATAGAAATTTTTGTAACAATTTATTAAAGAAATTGAAACGTAAATACGAAAAGTTGCAAATAATTAATGCAGGTCATGATAAAAAAAGATTATGGAAAGTCATCAAAAATATCACGAACATGACTAACTCGAAATCGTCCGCTCAACAATTAATTGTAGATGCAGACAATCCAGTGCAAACTGTTAACGCAGCAAATGAATTCTTCACTAGTGTAGGAAAACTTTTAGCTGAAAAAGCGGAAATAAACCTTCCGTTTTCAACTACAACCATGACCTCGTCAACGCGCCTCACAACTGCACTCGTTTGTCTTAAACAACACTGACGAACTCGAAATTGAAAATATTATTATGGCTTTAAGAAATGACTGTGCGACAGGAATTGACAAAATACCTTGTTCTTTCATTAAACAAAATAGATTACATTTGATTTCACCCCTGACTTACATATTTAATCTCTGTATATCCACAGGAACGTTTCCCAAAGTACTAAAAACAGCCCTTGTAAAACCTATTTACAAAAGCGGTGATAAGAGCAATATTAACAATTACCGACCAATTGCCATATTACCATCTCTCTCTAAAATACTAGAAAAAATAATTTACAAAAGGCTTGTTAACTATTTAGAAACGAAGAAACTTCTCTCGACGTCCCAATTTGGGTTCAGACAAGGACTACCTATCGACAAACGACGCAGTCGATGAGCTGACGGAATACATCGTAAGAAATTTGGACTTGAGGAATAAATGTTTGGCAATATTCCTTGACCTCGCAAAAGCTTTTGACACTGTAAACATACCAATACTTTTAAACAAGTTAGAAGCACTTGGAATTAGAGGAATACAGCTCAAACTTTTACAGGACTATCTTTCTGACAGAAAAC